GTCGACCGCAGATCTCTCATTCTCCAGCAGACCATATATCCAATCTGGTTCCCCGGACACCATTTTATAACACCCATATCTTATTTCTCTTATGCTCTCTTATATCTCTCAAATAACATTTCTAAATCTCCCTATTTGTCCTGTACGTGTTCCGCTTATTATTATAGCGCTACGAAGAACTTTTGAGTACATTTTCGAAAAATATTTCAAATACATCAAATGGTTTCATAAAAACGTAATAAGAGTTAACAAGTCAACACTATAGTGCTCAAGTATATAATTATACTGTAAAATGATAATTGTGCAGTATTGAGATGTTTTCAACAGCATTTTATTTCAATGTCATTTAACTTTATCGTTCTCAACATTAAACCACAGCGTGTCACTTTTGGTTTGCCAGTAGTGGAATTGTCAGTAATTTGTCTACTTAATATAACAATATACTTCTAAAGACAAAACTAAATTTAGGGTTTACCACGGAAATTATACAAACAACATGTCGTATTGATATTCTGCTCATTGGTATTTTCTATTGCAACCAACCATTTCTCTTACCATCAACCTAACCTTTCCATTAACCAAAAATATCTTCAGGGTATTTAACAACTAACACAGTACCACGTTTTGTGCGTTGACATATAGCTAAAACACTATTTAATCTTCTACTTTACCCTTCTAAGACTCCTACACAATCTAGTTTTATACTATACAAAAGTTTATTGGAACTTAGTGTATGCTGCAAAGCGTACCAAAATGTTATTTACACATCTGTTTATCTTCATTAACGAGTCTTAAGTTTGCCACAGCTTGATGATAGTAGCAATGAGATGCAGTGACAATCTTTGATCAAAGAGCCAAGTTCAGAAATCTCCTTTACATTTTAAGTCCATTTGTCTCTGTTCTTCTTGCTGTTTAAAATATTTTACTAAACAAAAGTTTATATTCAATTAAATTAGTGTATTAACGTTCTACATTGTTTCAGAAATTAACAAGGCTGTTTAGAATTAAGAGTAATCGAGTTCAACAAAACTTTAAATAAATTGAGGTAATTTTTTTTTTATGAACCTTATTAGTAATTGCTAAAATATTATAAAATTTTATTTAAACCATGTATTCTTATAATAAACAAGTAGCCTTATTATTTTTAAGCATATTAGTTTATTGTTTTGGTGTTTAATCCACCATTTTAACTACTTAAAAACTTTCTGCCATAAACTTTACCAAAGTTTAAAAGTAATAACTTATAAGAAAACGGGAAATACGAGTAAAGAAAACTTAAGTAATATTATACCCATTTCAAAACATTGAGTTGATATTAAAGACTGCCTAAATTTTCACTATTTTAAAGTATAATTTTTTAAATACCTATGGTGCTTTTTAATCAAACATTTATATAAATATAAGATAATCATTAATTATTAAATAAAATGGCAAAATAATTTTAACGAGGGGTTATTACCATTAGATAATACAAAATAATAATAGTTGAAATAATAGTTAAATAAATAAAAATTAAAAATCGATAAAAAATAATTAACTATAAAAATCATAGAATCACTATCTAATTGATCTTGAAGACCTAGTTTAGCACCATATACTGGTAATTTAATACTGTTTTAATAAGAACAATTTTTAACTAATATTATTCAATATAATCTGAGTAGTAGTGTATAATATAACACCTTATAGAGTCAAAATTTTTTTTAATTCATTCAAACGGTAAAATCTTGTTAAAATAAATTTAAGCTTCACATTCTTAAAGAAAAAAATGAATCTAATTAAATTAAACTAACTGTGCCAAGATATATTTGATCATGTATTTTATGTACGTGGAAAAAGTTCCACGAAAAAAGTGAAAATTTGTAATAGTATACTCGGACATGTAGACAATGCAAAAACTGATACTTAACAGATTTTTGATATTTTCAATAGACATTAGTTTAATATTCCCATAGAGAAGTTTGTTAGTGCTTATAATGTATCCAATATCGAGTTAAGAAGAGTAGTCTGACTATTGTCAAGTTATATGGTTAGAGTTTTAATCGGTATACATGTACACAAAAGTGTAATACCGAAAGTTGTATGCAATTTTTATTGCGACTCTGATGGCCTTTCAAGTATATTATTAGGTAATGAAATTATTTATTATTTATAAAATATAGAGTTTGCTATTTTAAAATTGATGTACAAAAAATTTGATAACGCGTAAAACAAGTTTTTGGTATCGAATTCTATGATAAGATTTAAACATACGGTAACCGAATCGAATTTTAAATAGGAGGTTATAAATCATGTTTCTTGTGAATTTTTGTTTGATAATTATATTAAATTTTATCGAAAACACTAATATGTTATATTACCCTACTGTGTCATATTGAGCAGATGTTCTCTATATAATTTCCGATTATCCACTTAGTTCAAAACACATGTATTTAAGTAAAGTTTTTGACATGTTGCGTTGAGAAAATAAAATAAATGCGTTTACTCGTTATTATAGGTGTCTTAATACTTACAATAATATATGTCAGCTATTACTGATGAATATTTGAACGTAAGAATTAAAATAATTTACATTACAAATATTGTCCATTTTTTTTGTAATACGCTTGGATTCTGAAAACGCGACACTTAATATGTAAAGATATTATGCAAATAGAATAGTTTTTGTTTTCCATAACATATCGAAGCTAAAATATAACCGATAAAACATAAAGGTTTGAAACTCATGTTTACATAACGTCATTAGCATTAGCCGACCACCTGTCCAATAGCGTGCGTTTAGTGATTGCAAACCTATAAAATGGCTATAAATTTTTTTAAACCGGCGGCGGTGGTGTCGTTTAATTTGTTTTTTTAGTCCGTCGAATCCGGACGGCGACGATATTTTACACGCACCGCATGTTCGGTGGTGTATACACGAACACAGTACACGAGATTTTGCCAACGATTTAGGAATGTAAGCGTACCACATTTGTCAAACAGCAATGCTGCCGACCCCTACGGAATTCCGGCAGACCAAGTCATTTGTTTTAGAAAAGTGTTTTCTCGACTATCGGTCGCCAATAACACTCGGTCCAGAAATATTAATAGCTGAACGCAAACGACATTTTGTCAGCCTTTTTTTGACAAATTCAACCATACATGTAATTTATTCTTATTCAAATAAACGATGGTGTCGATAAAACGATTACGCTGACTTTTTCTCAACGCTATTGTGAAACGCGTAAAAAGCGCTTCTGTACACGACCGAGTGTACAACTGGAGTATTCCAATATTAAATTATACTGTTTTAGGGGTAGTCGTTAAATAGCTTGCACACAGCGTCAGAGTTTGATTCGTCATTTTTTATCCTAGATGCTCAAATTACGCATGGAACGTTAAATAAAACGGACACATTTAATCGTGTATTTTCGTGCTATACACTTTTTACATAGGTTTGTAGTAATTAATTAACGGAACACGAGAGGTGTACTACATGATGGGTCGCGCCCGAGATAATAGAGTGCTGTGTACGTGTGTATGGTACAGTCCACCCTAACTCGAACAAATGACGCTGTGCCGCCTTCGTCGACCGGGTCTGAGCAAATTAGATTCTATCCCGGGTCGGTCTGTATAGTGTACCCTATACTTGCACACACCAAAGCGTCTAATTCAATATAACGCCACAGCAGCAGTCGCTGCTATCTCCCATGGCGAACCGCCCCCGCGCCGCATTAAAGCGCTGGTAACATGTGTGAAACAGTTTCACGCAATAGGGTCGAGCACCTTCTGGACGTGTCGTTATAGTAATAGTAATAATAGTAACAGTACACGGCGAGTACAGGCAGGGCATTGTTACTGAACGATCCGCACTATTGCGTTACGGCCATTTTGGAAGTTCAAAAATTAAACAAAATATTTAAAAAAATACATAACTAGAAAAGCCACAAAATATCTCCTATACGTAATGTTACCGTCATCAGCGCTAAACACATACCGACACCCTGAGCGAATAATATTTCATTACCAATGAATAGTTTTACATAACAATCTTGATAAATAGAGTGGATTGATTAACTATGCCTCACGAGCCATAGTCACCCTGTATATCCGGTAAATATTATCTATACTCGATACTTAAATAATTTACCTCCGCAATCAACTATTTCATACTTCAAACGGTTTTATTTATAGTCTTTAATTATTTAAAATAAAATTTAAAGGAGATTTCGACTTTGTGATGACATCATTTTTAGTGTCTCCGAAAATAAAAAATATTACCTCGGAATCGTAAGATAGCGTAGTTCTAAAATTAATTTGAAAATTAGACGTTAAATAAATATCAGCCAATATTTATTTTAGGTATTTTTATTAATTTTTCGCCTTTAAAAAATTACAACGTTATCAACATTTTTATACCTTCCTTGAATTCTACAGTGTGATTCTTTTATGAACCGCTTAGTTAATCAACAAATAGTAACAAAATTATATGTATATATTTTTCTTTTAGTTTCATACTTTTTTCAATTATAAAATGTTATCTATATTTAACCCGTACACATTATAAGAAAATTAATTTTATACTTTTAAATAGCACATATATATTTAACTAACTTCAATAATAGAAAATTGTAAAAAAAAATGACTGGTCGATAACAACTTTTAATCCATAATTTCGGAAATTACTGCTATTTCAAAGTGGGGAGGTGTGGTTTATATTATTTTTATCATTACGTATTACTCTGCTGCGCTTTTCCTCTACTCTATATTTAAAAATGTTAATATTTCAAAATTTGCTATCGATAGATTAAAAAAACTATCAATATTATTTATATTTTTCAATTAAATAAGTGATTTATGATAATGAATCATTACGTGTAGGTGACACTTGATATAATACACTTTATTAAAAAAATATACATAATTTTTGTATTTTCATTAAAATAAATGTATTTAAGTAATGAAAAATTATTAAAATATTTTTAATAGTATTTCTATTTTTTTTTTAACATATAACTTAATACACTTGTTAATTTTAAATATTATCTTGTACTTAGAATAAAAAAAAAATACATTTTTGTACGAAAATATAAAATGCAACTCAAAATTATAATTAAAGCATATTTGATTTTTCTAATTTCATTTGTCGATTCACTAAAGCCAACTAGTATATCTGATAAAGATTTTAAGGTATGAATTTTTTTCGCGTTCAATAAACTAATATACTAATTGAAATAAATGTTAATCTAGATTTATACATTTTAATAAAAGAAAATTTTTTAATAAAGTTAAGTAATAATAATCATAGTGTTCTTCACCAATTACTAATTTTTAATGATGACTGTCAAAATTATCCAATTTTAAATATTGATATAGCATTTTGGCAAAATCAATTTTTTTTTATTACAATATTGTTATTCTGAAAAAAAAACAATTTTTTTTAGTTAAATAAGAAAAACCATTGAAATTTAACGAATTTTATTTCAATTATCACTTTTAGGCAAAATTAACTAATGCGACCTTAGACAATATCAGAGAACTACTAACTTACGATAATCTGACATCAAGTCAATTGAATGAAATTGCACGCAAATTAGGCAGGGGTAATTAAAAAATCGACTAAATTATTATTATTGTACATATACCACAAATTTCATTCAATATTCAAAACATTAAATTATAATTTATTTCTGTTATAGCAAATATTTCATATTGCAATACTACAGGTATTGTATTAATCTACTATAAATTTTTTTTAAAGTTGTAAAACTATTAACAATTTATTTTCAGACGAAAAATGTTTATTTATTCATAAAGATCACGTTTATAAATTAGCCCGTAAAATAATGTCCAAAACAAAATCAGATCAATTCTTAAATAGTATTTTGTTGAATGCATTTAATAAATTAGATAAAGAACACGTACAATTAACTGATATACGCAAATTATTTAAGCAACACAATAAAAATATTGACAAAAAACACTTGGATATTTTAATTACCGTATGGAGTTTCAATGTTATCAGATATGCAGTTAACAAACCTAATGATCCTAACAAATACAAATTGTAATTAATATCATCAATTCAAAAAATATTAAACTTAGAAATATATTTTAACTAAATTAATGAGCTAATAATAATTTATACAGTTTTTTGAGAATATTTCCTTGCCTCAAAGTAAATCTCCCTAGAAAAAATGTATAAATTAAATATATATGGCTTATGTCTGTATAAGTTTAAAAGATACTTCAAAAGGCACATTGTTGATCAATAGTATTTCATATCGCATTAACTTGTTGCAGTGCTATGATAAAGTCAGTATATAAAGTATAAAATAATATAAAATATATATATTATAAAAGCTTAATTAAGGTCTTGAATACCCATCCCCGCTTCCACAATGACTTTCTACGCTTCTCTATACATTGCCAGTACTTCTCCATTTCTAACGTCTATCATCATAAGATTCTCCCTAAATCGGTCTCTTTATCGTTGTCGTAGAAGTCCTCTTGGTCTTGTTTCATGAGGATTCCACACTGATACCTCATTTAAATTAAAAATAGACTAAAAAAAAAAACAACTACATAAATTTTGTTAAAAATTCTATTTTTAATTAAACATCATTGCACAATAAAAACAAAATGCAATGCAATTTTGTGTAATGTGTAGATTATTACTTTTTTTAAAATATATATGGTACAAATTTAAAATATTAATACAACTTTTCGATTTTTTTTTTTTTTTATAGCTACATACCTGATTTGGCAGGTTCAATTAATTCTAAGTAATCCACTTATGAGTGTATGAATGTACCACATTTAAAACTCATGTACAATTGACACAGTTGTCTCTATTAACAAATTTTTTTAAGTTGTTTTTTTAAATACATTGTTTATTTTAAATTCTGTATTTATTGAGAGAATGTTTTAATAATTGTGAAAATATAAGTAATATGTTCAATTAACACATTTCCTTTGACATCTTACAACGTCAAAATAATTATTTTAAAACTTATTTATCTTATTGTTTTAATCTTTTTAAACTAACAATAATGTAAAAATAAAAATTACGTGTATCAAATAGTGACATAAAATATTTATTTTTATTTTGAATTTTATTAGAATTGTTATATTTCTAACTTTTAACTATGAAATTATATTAGAAGGTTACAAATAAAATGAGTATTTATGTTTTATATAATTTGTACTTAATTGTTCAGTTAATAATTAAGATATATTTTGTATTCTTTGTGAGAATTTTGGTTAATCAAATGATATAAACTTTTTACATGCATAAAATCTGTTCATATCTTATTAAAAATATTTGTTCAGATGTATAAATTAGTTCAAAAATAGTTAAAACGAGATTTCTAATTTGTAAAAAAATAATTTAAGTATTAATAACAAACAATAATTGTTTGATATTAATTTCAATTATTGACATTAATAACGTTCTAAATTAAAAATATTTAGATATTTTTCTCTGTGTTACCTGATTCTATCATTTTGAGAATTTTTTTTTAGTAATGAGCAAAAAAAAAAAATTAACTTTTAACAATCACATTTTCTTTCATAGCCTAATTAAATTAGGCTAACTTTAAATATTGCTCTGTATGAAAAAAGAAATTTGTATTAAAAATTATAATTTCAGACTATACTGGAACTTTATTGAATTTCTTAAAATAAAACATATATTTTTTAATATGGTAGTTAAAAAGAAATGGCACGTGTAATCGGTTAGGTTAGTTGCATTTTCCAATTGCTTGTGTTTGCGTTTTATGTTCACCCATTCGACCGTGTTGATTAATGTTGGGATTTTGTTTTTCCCTTTATAAACCAAGAGATCTGTATAAATTATCAGTAGCCGGTAGGGTTAAACGTTTTTTTCTCTTGTTTTTCCGTGCGAAGAGGGTGTCTAGAAAAAAAATTTAACAATCTTTTCTGATGTTTCTTCAACAAAATCCTTTATTTTTTTTGTCGACGCGTAGTTTAGACTTGCAAACGATAATGATTATTTCTCCCCACCGTAAACACCTCAATATTAAACATATATACTTGGGTTTTTCCGTTAAAATGTCGCTGTGTATAATGAAAAGGGTTAGGTGCGGCTTACGATTTATCAATCATTGCACAGGGGCTTGAACGATTAAAACACAACGGGTGTACAGCAGGGAAAATGAGAGCTAACGACGAAAATGTTGATGAGTTCTAATCCTTTCGCCAGGCTTTTGTCTCTTTCTTCTACTTATGTATACCTATCGCATCTCCTGCTATGAATATTTATACGCAATTCGTCGAGCTTAAGTGTCTTTAAACATTTCGTCGCCGTGTACTTAGCGCACACTTTCTCTTACCTCGGCGTTTCCTTTCCGTGTGCGTTTTAATCCGTCGAAGCCCTAATTTCGACTGACAAACTCTCCAAAGTCGTAGCCTCTTGCAACTCAATCCTTTTGCCTATCCCTCTGCCCATTTTCAGCGTCGGTTGTAACAAAATAAGGCAGCCACTCGCCGTTAAAACGCTTCCGGTTGCCAACGCATTCAAATGAAAATACACAGAAAACATTTCTGTCGTTACATTTTCTCTCTGGGTACTTCCGCAAACCGAATTACCTGCAAAATAGAAGATATAAATTATCCGTTTGCAAAACAATTCTATAACGAAAAACTCATTATCATAGTTGTAATTTCAATAAGATAAAATGTTAAATTTTTCAAAAGAGATACTGTCAAAAAAATAAGAATAATTATAATTTTTTTTTTATCGGGAATTTAATCATAGTTGTGAAAATGTGTTAATTATAAAAAATAAAAGTGGATGTTTTACTTAGTTTTATAAAAATCTAAAGATTCTCTTGGTTAAATAACATAAAGAATACAATCATAAGTTTTACTGTGTTCATCGTGCAACAAACAACATTTAACAAAAATATTTGATTTTTAACAGCTTTTTAATATATACTTTGCATATTTTCCTAAATTCACTTCCAAACAAAAAAAAAAAAAGACATTTGCAAATGCGAAATTATTATATATATTTTGCGTATTTTCAATTTAGTAGATCAACATTAGTTATTTGCGTTACAACTTTGATATATTAAAATTGTAATTAATAATAGAAATATATTCCTGAACACTGTTAAAAAACAACGATGAATCGACGACAATTATAAAAAAAAAATTTCTTAAAAACTTAATAAGTTTTTAACAAAATAGAATATATTTTGTAAACACTAGTTATTAGCACTCCAAGTTTATAGATATAAATATTATCTATTATCTATAATTGATGGTTGCTAGCTACCAACCATTTTCCCTGACTATGGTGTTATCAATCACTGTTAATGATATACTTTATCATGTCTTTATTTAACGTTTTAAAAAGTTATTTATGCAACACTTGAGATTTCATATGTTACCTGTTTACTACATAAACAATATGTTTTGATTTTTCCATTTAGTGTACAAGTTGTAGGACACTAAAAATTGTTCGTAAAATATAATGTTATTGTTATACAGAGTGGGACACCGCGATTTACTAATTTGACTATATAAACTAATATGAAAATTAGTAAATCATAGTGTATCTCGTTTCATATATATGCATAAAAATAATAAGTAGATAATACTTTTTATAGGGTGTTCAGTAAATACGGTAATGGGTCAATTGTTGCAAACAATGAGAAACCCGTTTCCTTACTTACTGAACACCCATACAAGGTATTATTTAACGTAATAATGGTTATATTGAACTATTCCACGTACAAATATGTTATAACATATATTTATTGATTTAAATATTTATCATCGACCCTGTTCGGACGCTACTTATTTAACGATGCTCTATGGGATCCATTGTGTCATAGTGTGATGTGGTAGCTGCAGTGAAATTCGCATTGTATCCAGATAATGTGCAGTGGGCGGATTCTTTGGAATTTTGCGTGAAAACGTTAATAATAATACAACAATATTGATTCGTTAACACCATGAAAGAGTAGCGGATACGATTTACAGGGTACAAAATAATATAAACATTCCCAATGAATTTTGATACNATACAACAATATTGATTCGTTAACACCATGAAAGAGTAGCGGATACGATTTACAGGGTACAAAATAATATAAACATTCCCAATAGAAGTCTGTATCAAGACTTCTATTGAATAACGAACAACAAACGATTGCCGATTGACACCAAATGTAAATGTTATTATACTCAAGCATGTACAATAATATGACAATAAGTTTGGCGGACACATGACTGCAACGACTATGTGTATGTATAGACCATGGCACTTGCCCGTACAAAAAAAAAAGGCAATTTGTCAACTGCGATCGACGCATACCATGGTAAACGTTTAATTCTTTATGTGTTTGCAATAGTATTTGTCCACCTGGAAAGCTGAACATGAGTAATACACCGTTGTGTTTATGTGACGGTATTTCCCAATCGTATTCTTGCACCTCAACGCCTATTTTATTATTAAAATCGTGTGTGATACTATACCGGCAATACTCGTAAATAAGCATTTTTTGAGGATCTGCTGAACGAGGCTATTTACTGGTAAGGGTATGCGAGGAAATTCCACTTTGCTTCGAAACGGAAAATCAATTTACCCTCCGTTGTCACTGACTCTTTCACCTGTCGACAGGTATTTCCTTATATACATTGTCATAGAGCGAAGAGGCTTTTCCGACCACCTTCTGTCGACAAATATCCATGGTGACATTACAGGAGGTGTAGGACAGTATTTGCTCTGACGAAGGCGGCGTTCACGGCGAATTAACCACAGACACCAGATCACGGTTGACCGAACACTACGATCTCAACCCCACCATCACCACCTAGTCATCATTACCGGTAGCATTACGTGAAAACCTTGTATTATTTTCTCCTTATTTTTCACCTTACCATTACAAGTTTTCATCAAATTCTGTGTGCCACAGGCATAGAAGACAAAAATATGTTAGAAATCACGTTGCGTATCTTTGGAGGATATAGTGTTTGTTAGAATAAATACACGATACAGTAAAAGAAATTAAAAAAAAAAATTCACCACCAAATTTAATAAAATTGACAAAACTTTCAATAATTTGTTTTTAATAGTTATTATTTCTATTATAATGTGACTACCCAACCAAGTAAAAGATGATTTTCCATCATAAATTTTCAAAAAATGTTCATTACTTAAAATAATTTTCAAGTCTGATTAAATATTCATTAAAAAATAATGTAGTTTTATAAATTTTTTTTTTTTAAAGAATTTATTTTCACATAATAATCTACAGAATAATATTCTTAAGAAAACTCCCATTACCAAATGTATTATCTCTAGCGTATTCTCTCGGTTTATTACTAAATGCAAGTATTTGTAAAAATAAAATATCATCTTTAAAGTAGAATTTTGTTCTTATCTAATATTATAAAAATTAACACTACTAAGAATTAAAAATTTTTTATCCTTTTGAAAAATTACTTACATATTTCAAAGTAAATTTTTATGAAAAAAAAAAAGAGTAATTTTTATTATTCAAGTATCTGATCATTTTTTCCCAATATAATTCTTCTCGTGATATTTAATTTTTAAGCGCAACTTGATGTTATCTATAAAAGTCACTAATTTTAGAGTTCATACGGAAATACACTGTAAAATATTTAGTTTTGAATTTAATATTTTTTTTCCAAATATTGTGTGTGTTTAAAATGCCGTAAAACCATATAAATGTAAATTTAAATCAAACGCCCTTAAGCAATGGATTCTTTGCAGTGCGAAATATAATATTTTTCGTTATTATATAAAATGTAAAAAACGACTGTATGCGCGTAATAAAGCGAATATAAAATTGTTATAAAAAAAAATTAAACGATTTGAAAAATGTGCATATATACTGACATGAACGCACCAGTTTATTATAGTAAAAATCATAGTAGTCAGTACTTGAAATTTGAATTACAATAGAAACTCGAGTTAGATTTCAGATAAATGTACGTTTGTTGTGGGTATGTTTTCGTGGTTTAACGTTTTGGCGGCGGCGGCGGTCGTCAAACGGCGTCATCAACTGTTTTTTGTGTCGTCGTTTAGTAATAAAGAAAGCATTTCATTACACGAGAACAACGAAACATGTTGTCGGGCCACCGTAGTAGTCGTCGCGGGGTGACAAAAATCGTCAATTTACGATACGGCCGTCAATATTGCATTTTGTATTTTGTAGTGCCACGAAAATACACCGCGGTGTTGTGTAAACGAGCCGAGTAAAGAGAATCCTTAACGAATCATACGGCCGAGTAGAGAAAATAAAATGTAGAGGAATAATAATACAAATTGGCCATTTGGCGGCGGTAAAGACCCGAACCGTAATGCCAGTCGTTTATGTGTAGGCACTCCGAAGCCGCTACCAATACGCATGTAATAATAATAATAATAATAATAACATGAAGTAAGTATAAAATAAAAAATAAAGAGAATGTCGCTATACGCGCACCCGGGTAATGGGCGCGCGTATACATGTAGGTAATGGTTGGACGATTATTACGGCTCAGCGTGAAGTCACCGACAAAACTGATGACCGAATAAACATGTCAACCCCAGTCGGTAACGTCGCCCAACTAATATGAATAATAAAAATATATTAAAACGCGTTTAATTAAAAACAATCTGTTTTTTCCTCCGTGCGCAATAGTTTCCCTTCTTCGCCTCAGTTTTAGCCGTTTGATATTCAAAAGTGCCGCCGGCGCCGCCTCATGTGGACAAAATGCTCATCACATTTTATGTTGACAGTATTACTTGATAATAACTTTGATTTTTTTTGTGTGTCACTTAGTCTTAGTAAAACTATGTGGCGGCAAGTTAAATCGATGAGATTTTTTTCTGATACAACCTAAACGCACTTTTTTGCTTTTGTATAACATTGCACAACACTTTTCTGCGGCAAAAATATTATAATAATTCTGAATGGAATTGCGTCACTTTTTCTGGTCTTAGAATTTTCAGATTGAAGTTTTTGAGATAATCGCTAATTAGTGAAAAACATGCAATTATTTTATTAAATGATAAAAAATACATATTTCAAAACACTACATTTATAACTTCAATAGATTATATTTAAGAGGCCATTTAAAAAGTGCGATCAATATCTCAAGTTTAAATAGGCTATAAATGAGCTTCAAAGTTTATTTTGACGGTAATTTTACAAATATCAAAGCTAAATTTTTCCTTCTAACTTTTTGTTGCTTAAACCTAAAATTATACATTTTTTTTTCACTAATATGGAATTTTATAAGGATTTAAAAAATTTAACCTTTATGTTCGAGCGTAACTAGATATTGAAATGATTTCTGTTAACAATAAAAAAAAAAAGTATAAAAAACTCAACATTTTAATAAAATCAACATTTTTTGTAAAAATTATTTTTAATTCTAAAATTAAATGCATTTTAAATAAATGATATGGTAAAATCATTTATAATTTTTTTCGCAGAATAAAATAGTTTAACAAGATCTGATGTATAATCATTATTTATTAACTTTTAGGGTTATAAATAACTCGTATATATTTGCTATATACATTTTAAAATTATATTTTAGTATTTGAAAACTATATGAACAAAGTAATATAAACTTACAATATCCAATGCTTACTTTTTGTTCGCTGTTGAATAAACTAATGAAACGAGGGTATTTGTATACCCACCTAAAATAATAATGATAATATCATAATTAAATAATAATTGTCGGAAATTTATAAAAAAATTTGGGTGTAGGTTAATTTATTTTTCTCCTACTCTTATTATTATTTTTATATAAGTACATGTACTTTTGTTTTAATTTCTGAGGGTTACGGTAACTTTTGAAGAGATCAAGAACCTTTGTCCACTTTTGCGTTTGAATATAATTTATTTAGACTAATAAAATTTATATAAAAAATAGCCACAAAATATGCTCAGCTTACATTTTAGTTAGTTTATCGTAAATATTTTCAGCATAGTAACTGTACAAGAGTAAATATTTTTTTCTCAGATAAGTTGTTGTTTGACTCGCATATTAATATTGTACTTATAGAAAACCCTTTTCTCTAAGTATTACGCCCAACGGTCTTACGAACCCACGTGTATGGCCTCATTTATACATTTTAAACGAAATAGATCTTATTATTTTCACACAACAAACATTGAATAGCAAATACTTATGAGATTGTCGACAGGAATTGTACGTGTAATGTCTAAACTATAATCGATCGATAAAATGGTCCGTGCACATATTGCACAGCATCGCCCTAATTGAAAGCTCATTAAATTTGCACGATGGCATTGTGCACGTGTATAGAATGGGTTTACTATGTGTCCGGGAATTTCGGATTTAAACGAAATGCTACCATCGTTTCCGTACCGTTTATCTATTGCAATACATTATATTATTATGATTCATTTTTCACGACCCTCGCCATAAATTATTCTCGGTCCTTGGCCAAACAGTTCGCTTGGCGGTTCCAACGACAAAATAACTTGAAAACAGAAAATTGCTTCACGACGTGCTCTTCTTCACCACCGTATGCTGTACTTTTATACAAATACATGTCACGCTCCGGTGCCCGTGCTATGCATTCAACCCCTTATGTAATTTTCCGTTGTAAGTTGGCATTTTTTTTTTTTATAATATCCACAATTGGAAAACTCTGGGCCGATACCCTCGGCCACGGAAGATCAGAAAACACGACCATAAAACCAACCGACCATCAAACTGCCGCATTGCGTATATTAATGTATACATAAGATGAACGGAGAGCCCGAACGACAGGAACAAATGTTTCGGAAAATACAAGTGGCTTGTCATTAACATACATTATGTGCGCGATTTGAAGGAAAGCTCAATGTAGCGGAATTTTTTTTTCTTTTTAGTTTTTCGTTATGAGCCCGACGACGTAGCAGACAACGATTACATGAGTGTTATACCAAGTACACACTACGTGACACAGAAAAATACAAGAATAAATTAAATCGCGCTTATTACCCGTGACAAATTATAAAGAGGTTTTTTTTTCACCCTCTGCCTGTTAAAAGTGTATAATACAACTATGAACTTGGGCTAAACACACCGAAACTGTGATAGTTAATCGTGTAAATACCATTCGAAGCGCTTCATTTTTTCCCCGTTTCGTCCACTTACCCTTTATTTACCGACAATTCTCCGGAGGGCTGTAATTATTGATGCACCGGTTTGGTTGACAACTATTATGTTAATATATGTGTATGATTTTCGGGGCTCGTTTTAAAATGACAACAGCACTCGTATATTTAATGTAATAATCTGGGAAATCGGTTTCAGCGTTACGCAGTGCATGGTAATAACATTGTAAACGAGTAGCCGGGTAATAATTGTGTATGGCATTATACGAAAACATTAACAAACTGCGGGGGTCGTTAAAATGCGGACTAGACTTCGTTTACGAACCTTGTTGACACTATTAAAAAAACAAGTGTATACACGATTTATTTACACAAATTTTTATATATATATATATATATAGTTAAGACCCACTGAATAAGTTTTGCTGACAATTAGTGATCGGAATGGAATATTTCTGATTCGCGTAGATTTTTTTTATTTGAATATTAATGAAAATTCATATAAAGTTTGCCGGGCGTGCAGTATAGGCAACAAATATAACGTACGTGCTGTGCAGATGGTGTATCATAAATGACGCAAATTGTTAAGTAAATATTTGAAATCCTTGAAAATTGTTATTAATGTTCGTCAGGCGATTTACAAACAGTACAAGCTAATTGCTTCCCTCGAAGCAAAAGCCTCAGAAAACGATGACGACTAAAATGAGCGAGTTTTGTACGTTATTTGTTACGAGTTTGACGTGTGAGACCTCTCTCGGAACAGAAACATAGCGTTTTTAATTACAAAACGAATCAATCAAAGAATTTGCGTTGAAACTGAACAGCGTACGACTGACGTTCAGCAACAATAGTCGCTGATCATTTATAATTTTCTAGTGTAGGCGCACAGTCGAATGAGAGAGTTAATTGCAACAAAACGCAAGTCGGGTGCCCGGTGCATTCAGTTATTTTCCAAAGAGCGAGGGCGAGACCTATATTATATTATCCGTATACACAGTAATAATAATATGGTATAAAACGACGGAGGCTGAACTCCTCTTCCGTTCTTTCCCCGCATATTTTCACTTCGTCCACACTTGGTGTCATGTTTATTGACAAGCCAATTTCCACCCTCGTCGCCGCTCCTCATCATCCGATCTCCGTCACTCTGTTTCTCGCTCTTACCTTCCTCGCCCTACCCCCAGCTACACTCTAGCGCTGTATTATATGTCCCGTTGGGTTTCCCTATGGCACACAATTCCTAATATTTGGTGTGAACATGACAGCACACCGTGAAATCACATTACCTCGTCGTTTCTTTTGAATAGCCGAATTTTTTTTTTATTTCCACTTTTTCTCCTCACCCGCCAACCTGAAAGCTGCTCCTATCACTTCGTACGGGTCGCCGAACCTTGCCTTTTCATTCTTTATTAAATCAGCTACTCACTCGGCGCAACTTCGACGATTCGTCCGTTTTCCTCCGCAGTGCCAGTTTACGAGCGATGGAAATGTGACACGACTGCTGATTTTCCGTTATTACACTTTTTTTTACTTGTATTTCTTTTACCCACACGTATGAGAGTTCAGTTTTACTTTTTTTGTTTTTTTTACTCGATTTTATCTTTTGCGACATATAATCATGTCCGTTTGATTTCTGTCACAACGCAATCAAATAAAAACATTTTAACAAAATATCTAGTTTGAACATTTATCAGTAATAATACTAGTACAAGATATCAGGGAAATCACTATTAACTATCAAAAGTTTTAACTTATTATTTGTTATTTAATACATAAAATGTATCAACTAAATTCATTTTTAGTATTAAAGAAAATTCATAAAGATACATTTTATTTATTTTACTAATTTTTTAAATTTTATAAGCAAATAATAAACAATTGAAATGTATTTAAACTGTTTATTTCCTAATATGTGACTAATTTATATTTATAAAAGGTGATATAATTTCGATAACTGTATTCACATACAAATTTTTATCGACATTAGATTTTTCTACTTAAAAAACTGAATTTTAAGTTAGTAACTAAATAATATAGCAAGTATATTATTAAAATTCAGTACAATAAAAATATGTGAAAGAAATATGTTCTTAAAGTTGTTCAAAACAACCTAATAATAATGTATTACAATAATTTATAATATTTACTTGTATTTAAAACTTCATAAATTAATAAGGAATGTCTCGAAATTAAAATTTTGCAACTTGTTATTCTTTAAGAAAAAATAATTTATATGTTTCATCAATACTTTCTACATTTTACTTTGTAAAATACTTAGTGATGTATATGTGCTTATAGATAAATATAAATATAGAGTGGTAAATAAATAATATTTATTGAATAAATATTTTACGAATTCTAGTATTTAAATCACCATAGTGAAATACAGACTGACACACAATATTATGACAAATCTTAATGTACTGAACATTTTTAATTTATGCATTTTTTAGATTATTACGTATTATTACTATAACTGTAAAATTCATCTAACTTATCCTAAAACTGTTTATAATAAAAGTTTTAAAACATTACTATTTTGAAATTTTGAAAAATTAAAAAAGAAATTATAAAATATGATTCAAACAAACTCAAGGATTTCATTAATTATTTTTAAAAAAGGGACTAAAAATATTCAGTAGATCAAAGTTATTACATTTGTTATAACATTGTAGACCACTCTGTATATTACAATAGTGAATTAAGCACCAGATCTCGTAAAATATTTATAAATTGTAATAAATAAACTTTTTTTTTTATGAAAGCAAACAAACTTTATAATTAATATTGATGATAATTAATAATAATTAAATATTTCAATAAGATAAATTTGTATAAAATGCGTATTATAACACTTAATAAAAAAGAAATCCGTTAAATTCAATTTTATAAAATTTATACTGAAATATCCTGGAGGCAATGGGCTTTTTTGATAAAATTTTTAAACGCTTACAGTTGTCTAAAACAATTTTTTCATCTTTGCAAATAATTTTCCTAGAGTAAAGTCGTTAAGATCTTTCATTAATAAAAAAAAAAATTGAAAATCCTTCATCGTTAAGTAGTTTTTTCAACATTGGCTAATTTTTCAATGTTTTATTATATAATAAGATACTTAGTACCTATTGATTCATATGAACCTTTATCTTTTACAATGGTTTTGTTTACANCCTTTATCTTTTACAATGGTTTTGGTTACAAAATTTAACGATCGTTTTCATCGTTCTCAACTATAAGGTAAAATGACAATAACAATTTTTATTAAAACCTATATTTTGAACTTTAGTTTAAAATATAAAATGATTGTATTAGGCACAACATTGAAGAATAGCAATAAAAAATTTCAGATACATTGACTAGAATATTCATAAACCCTATTCTCATAACTTTAGGCGCAAATAATGTTTTAAACTTGCACATTATTAGTTAGGTAAAATTATTTTTTACCTATTAATCTATTAATAATTCTAGATAATATAATTATATATAATATTATACAGAATTATTATGCATAACATTATATAAGTACTACTAGTAATTTGTAACTATAATTGTTGAAACCAAAAATATTACAATGTAATTATAAAATACATATATTACACTGATGACATTGAACACTCGCGATATTTCAAAAAATGTGTTTTTTTTGAAATATTAAATATAATTACTGCAAAAATTATTTAAATAATAATAAGGAATCAAATTGTAATAATAAAATTAGATTAATGACATTTTTAGTGGCTGTAGTAATAAAAAACAGACCAATTAAATGAAGAAAAAATCGTACTATATGTTATTTCAAAAAGTAAATAAAATGTTAATTTATTAAGATATGTTTTAGCTATAAACAATATTATTTATATTTAACTTCTCGTAGAGTTGATCACCAGAGCGACAGTTACAGCTTCGAGTTTGGAGCTATACTGACGATTTAACTCGTTTCATATTTGTTTTTGTAATTTTTGTTGTTGTTGTTGTTGTTGTTATTGATATATTTGTTATTATTTTTTTTTCTGCCTTTGTTGTTTTGTTTTTATTGTTATCGCTATAATTGCTATTGTTTTTGTCACTGTTGTAACTGATTTGTTTTTTTTTTTGTTGAATGCAAAAAAAAAATTATTTTATTTAGACGGCTGACTACAGAAAAAATTGAAGTGATATTTTTACAGAAATAAGTTAATCCTATAATTATACTAACTATCTATTAAAATTTTAAGTGTAAAAGTTTGAAAAGTAAAAATGTTCACTAGGAAAGCTTTAAAATTTTTTTTTAAAGGGTGATTGTGGTCACCCAACAACCTTTTATATTTTATTTTATTATACAAAATTAAAGCATATATCTTTTTTTTTTAATTTTTCAAAAAATTATGAGGAATTAGTCTTCTATATCTCTCTTTTAACACGACAATAAAGTTTACTTTAATTTTTTAAAAAAGATTTAAAGCATTTTTGCTTAATAACATATTAAAATTTTTTTGAAATTTACAATTTAACACATAAATCGTTCTACTTTGATGTTTATTTTCGTTACAAAAGACATTGGACACATTTTTGTCGGTATAAAAAGTAATAAATTAGCTTTAATTTAATATACATTTTTTATGTATGCTACTTATGCCAAAACTAAACAAATTACGATTTTGACACATATTTAGAGCATTCTTACAAATTTTATATACTATTTTTTTCTATTTACTATTGTATAATATTTTTTTTGTAATGATCAAATTACATTATTACGATAATCTTCTTCTTTTTCTCCATTTTCCTCATCTTTATCCAAACAATTTGTGGTCGGCCACTCTTATCCTAAACTTACACTTGAACTCAATATCTAACATCATCTACGCATACATCAGCCGTTCTCATATCACATTCGATCACATCCTTCTACCTCTTTTTTGATTTTCCTCTACCGCTTCTTCCATGAACATTCATTTCCATAACTGTTATTATAGTGTCCAATTCCTCTTTCCTGATAGCATGACCAAACTATTAGTAACATTATTTAAAAAAAAATCTATCAAATTATATCTAGAAAAATGAAATATAACTTACGTAGTATAGTCTACGTATTAATTTTCTTTTTTTTTAATACGTGAAGGCCTACTTTAATTAATCTAATTAATATAATAAAAAAAAATATACTTGGAATTTTTCAAAGTGCCTTAAACAAAATTTATAATTATATATAATGTCGGACCCTAATTATGATTCTTTTGATATAAATTATTGAATTACAAGAAATTCCTAAACTTTATTTTTATAAAATAAATTTTCAATATATTTTATAAATACCAATGATTTTCAAATACTAATTTTTTACTTGCCTCCTAAATAACTTAAGAGAAAAATATATGAAAATTATATATTTTTAAAAATATACTAACTATAGAAAATAACTATATTATAATAAAATCTAGAGCTTGGTTGATTTTAAATATCGAACGATATATGAAATATCAAATTATACATTACAATTATTTTTACAATATAAATAAAAATATATTTTTCAACTTCAAAAAATTAGTATTTTTAATTTTGTTGAGGTACTTCCAAAATTAACTGTATATAACAAGTTAATAATTATTAAAAAATTAAATTATTAAATTTTAAAAATATATTATAATTAATAATAACAATCAAGGGTTCTTTTATTATAAAAAAAACGATAGCACAGTAGGGTCGTGGCACAGTATAAACATGGCATAGTAGACACAAGTTTAGATGATATCTGACAGTGATTATAATCAATGTCATAAGAAAGGCATAGATAATCTGTAAATAGTGTTTAATTTTAAAAAATTGGTGAATTATTCGAAAAGCAAAAATATCATTGTTTTACGTCAACTACCATTTGTGCATAGAAAATAGGTCGTCGGTACAAATTTTGTTTTTGAACTTTTAGTACATAATGTAAGCTCTATTTTAACATATATTTAAAAGACGCAGATTTCCCGGAACATATTAAAAAGTGAAATTCGAAAAGTTCTACATTTTATACAAATTTCCGAGTTTTCAAAAATTCAAAAAAGCTTATATTTTAATAAACAAAAAAAATAAATAGCATTTTTTGCCGTTTGCACAAAAAAGATAAGCCGTCGGGACTTTTTTTTAATTTATAGTACGTAACATAAGTTTTAATTTGACATATGTTTTAAAGACGCAGTATTTCCGGAACATTTTTAAAATTTAAGTTGAGTTATGTAAAAAAGTTGCTATTTTTAATCCCCTCCTGTGGGCAGGTAAAGGATCAAATTATCATAAAATTTATATAAAATGAAAAGAAAATACATTAAGTATTTATATAAAAAAATTATTTTGGTTCGTTCATTTTTCAAAAATTTATTACAGTTTAAAATATTAAAATATTTTATATTAAACATTGATTTTTACATAAAAATTACATTTTTCATTAAATTCAACGTCCATTTTCCATAGAAAAATAGACGTCAGGACAATTTTTTTTTTTTTGAACATATAGTATTTATAATAAGCTTTAATTTGACATATGTTTAAAGGCCGCAGTATTTTTAGAACATTTTCAAAAAGTTAGGTTAAAAAAGTTCTACTTTTTATACATATGATTCAAGTTTTGGACGCCCACTTTATAAATTGAAAAAGCTTAACTTGTGTGCAAAAATTGCTTTTTTGAATGCCTCTTGTGATCAGGTTTACAGATTTTTAAAAAAATGATATAAAATGAAAGGAAAATATCTAAGGTTTAATTATAAAAAAAATCATGTTAATTTTTTAATTTCAGGAAAAGTTATAGAAGTTTAAGAAAGAAAATGACAAAATTTACTGATTTTAAAAATTGTAATTTTTTTGGAGATTTTCCCCATATACATGAAATGAGGGAATTTTTTTCAATTTTTAAGGGTAATGTCTTCAACTAGATACGGTTTGTGATCTTTTGACGTATCGTTGAAAGAATTCAGTCCAGTGAGACCTTAAAAAAAGCGGCAACAGACACAAAAGAAAAAAAAAATACATCATGGTAAAATTAATACTTTCTCAGTTTCGCCTCGAAGCCAAAAAAATTACCTTTTTAAATTATATGTTTTTACATATTCAAAATAATTTTACTCTTTTTCTTTTGTTTATTTATTTGAATATTTTCTTCATCTTTCGTATCAATAGATAAGTTAGGACCTTAAATTTTCAAAAATAAGTTGATGTGTTTTTTATTTTTATTTATATATCATTTATAAATTCTTAAAATAATTTTATGTTTCTGAAGAGTTGAAAGTAACTAAAGGTTTTTTGTAGATATTTAAAAATTATCCTATTTGCTAGTTATTTTTCGAGTTAACTGTTTATTATTTGTTTTATAATTAAAACACATCATATTCTACTTATATACATATAAAAGTAAAATATTGAAAATGTTGCATTTTTTTTTCTCTAAACAAAAAAAATTAGATATTTGAAAATATAGAATTGGTAAAAGCTTTACCATGTCAGTGTAATTATTTATAAATAATTAATTGTAGTTATCGTTTGGTTAATGCACGATTAGTATGCATGGATACATCCATGTAATACATTTTATTTGTTAGGGAGTTTTATTTTTTATAATAAAAAAAGTTAAATGAAATTTTACTTTAAAAATATCTATACATTTAATTTTTTATACAATAAACGACGTAATAGATTACTGTATCAATGCAAGAACAACCTTGTCTTTTGGAAAGTATCTCAAATAGTTAGATTACTCATTTTATTACAATAACAGACATGTATTTTAAAAATACCCTGTTTTGGATATTGTACTCTGACAGTATTGTTTTAGCAGAAGCTGTTTATTCTTCAAGAGATATTTTAGTGAGAATATAGCAATAAAACACCCTGTTTGCGTTCACCTAACGAAATTTTTTTGATATATAACTTATTTACTCAAGTGTTTGTATTAAATTTTGAAAAATAATCTTTAGTATTTTATGTTTTAAAAAATAATCATTGTTGTATTTTATATACTATTTAAATGAGTTTAACTCATTATATTATTTGACTAAATAGATATTTGTAATCTTACTCGGTTTTATGCATATTTCATTATAATTATACTTAGTATTCATAATTGTTGTATTTAGTTATCACTGGAAAATGTACACAAAAACTTTATTAAGTTTATGCATATTTTTCTTTGTTTCGTTCACAAATTGTTTTGTGTTTTGTTCAGATATTGAATTTTTAAATTGCCTAGTTCGTACTAATGGTTGGATAGAATTTGAAGGGCCTATGGCCAAAGATATTCAATCAAAGAAATATATATCCATGAGCTCTGTGATACCGAGTAATGATATTGAAGAAGGTGTGTTTAATAAAAAAAACGTATTTACCAAAATTTTTCAAATATATCAAATCTTTAATTGTAAGTACGCTGAAGTAATGAGGTTACTTATTACCTATTCAAATGCATTAGCAAAAGAATGTATGTATTACGAACCATTAGATGTGAAGTATTACAAAATATGCAAAAGTAAATTTGTTAATACTCTTCGGAAGTCTGAACATATGATTGGATCTATGACAAAAATGTTGCACTTGTTTAAACCCGAAGAAGTAGATAATGTCTTACACGTTAGTAAAATTTTATTAAATTTTAAAATTCACGTCATTGGAAATTTTATGGTTGAGTATGAAATGGCAGATATGATAAAAACACTAAACGAAGTCAGTGAGTTATCTAAAAATTATTTATTTAAACAATGCCTTCTAAGACACAATTTATTTACGGACGCAGAATCTAATATTCAAAAAGCAATATTCAACATTGACAATCAACAAAATAAAAATCATCCAATTGGCGTAATCAATAATTTAGAAAAAATTTTGACTAATTTTTGTAAACAGGTTGAATCAGACTGTAATTCTCTTGTGATTAATGAAATGGTAAAGGACAGCCTTCTATTAAACAATAAAACTGTAATTATATAAGTAATAATATTGCTTAATTCATGGTCAGTATACTTAATACTTTATTGACTCCATACTTCATTCTTATATTTTTAATACACTTCATAAACTTCGAAAACATTTAGGAATATTTTTTTAAGTAATGATCATTTTATGTATTAATTATTCTATGTAAATAAAATTAATGTTAGAAAAAAATTTAATTAAAGAATTTTGTTATGAGTTCTCGCGTGCATGTAATGTTGTTATACATATTTTAAAAGATTTTAAATAAATTATAGTAATTATAAATTGTTTGTAAATATATTTTTTATGTTCTATTAACGATTTAAAACTCCCGTTCAAATATTATTATATAAAATTGAATCCCATAATACTTCAATACTTAAATGAAAATTATCAAAAACTAATTTCATATACTGTTGACAATTTGCTTTGCATTTTAAGTTTGATTAAAATCTATTGTTTTACTAATTTTGATCATTTAAAATAGATTATTTCAAGATTACTTAATGATGATAATTTTAAGAAGAATAACGATTCCAGTTTACAACTTGAAAATGAAATATTGATGGATACAGAAAATCAAAATGAGGTTATAATTAAATTATCAGAATCTGATGGAACCAATATAAAAAAATTACCTAATCAAAGTCAACCAGAGAGTTCTTTAAATAATGGCAAAAAACACAAACCTATGTTTTCATCATTATCAAAATCTATAATTTTTTCATTTTTTTATAAAATTCTTCAATCTTTGAAATCCTGCAAAAAGTTATTTTCTCAGAACTAAATAGTTTTTAATTAATTAATATTTTTGTATACATATTTTAAAAGATATGTTTGATGATGTCATGTTTCATCAATGAATGATTAACTACTAGATTTTTTCAGATTTTCAGAACTTATAAAATTTTAATTTTATGATTTTTTCATATTATAGATAAAGTGTTCCGTGTTTAGTTTTTTTTATAATTTCTTTATTATTAACATTTAATAAGCAACACTTAATTAGATATTGAATAGTTAAGTTTGCTAATTTACATGATGACAATGTATCACAATCGTTACAACTAGTAATAATTAGGTTTGGGAACAATACTGAAATAAATATAATAGTAACGTAGTGTTCACTTATATAATATTAAGAATTAATTATTTAACTAAATTTTAAAATAATTAATTACATATTTTCTTATTTAGAAAAATATTTAAAACAAATAAACTAGTTACTTATATATATGGTCATTTAAAATTATATAAATGACATATTTATGAGGTATAAAAAATACTTCATAATTGAATGTTAATGATAGAAGAATCACCCTTTATATAAAAATCCGGTCATAAACCATAAACTACATAAAAATTCAAATCAGTTCGGGTTAGCTCGGCTCGAACTGATCTCTAGCATACATGTATTTTCCTGGTAATTTCAGTTATTAATTAAATTTCATTTAAATTTTTTGTAGTTTATTAGAAATAATTTGACAAACAATTTTCATAGATATTGATATTAATGAAAAGTGGTTCATTGAAGATAAAAAAAATTATCTTAAAACCATATTTATATATAATTATAATACTTTCTTGACTTTCGTTGAAAATCAATTTTTCATAATACACCATAACATAATATACAATGGAAGTCTGAGACTTCAATCTAGAAAACCTGCTCGCATTACTTTGAAAAAACTTACTGAAAAACGCTAAAATGATCTGAATACAAATCAAAGTGGCAGAAATCTAATCCAGACAGCGTCAACATAATACAAACATTAATCGACCTGATACTGAAATATATACTAGCCCATCGTGAGTGGATTATATTAAGCCTATGATACAAAGGACTCAGGCGCTGTAAGTAGCTTCTCTACAAATGGAAATTAACAGAGCACTCACACTGTGATTATGAAGACTATAGTTCTGTGAACTATTCTTCATGTATTAATAGACTGCTACATACGAGTATTCAAAGAGTATAAACGGGAAGCACTTAAATAGACAAGAGCATTAGACATTCAATTATGACGAAAAAAGTTTCACAATAAGTTCTGAATTATTTTTATAATTATCATAAAGTATATGCATTCATGTTATTTAATTTAATAGTTATTGTTACTAATATTATTTTACAATATTTTTATCTGGAACAAAATCTATGTAATTCATGCATAATATGCTATTGCAGAAAGTATTATTATTGTTATACCATAATCATAATAATAATAATACATTCTGGAATCATACAAAATAATTTATGTTTGTCGTCGTACTTACATTTGAACGTAGAACACTTACTAGTGTTTAGTAAGAAAATGGTATAATATTATATTTTGTTATATATAAGGATATTGGATTATTTGTTTATTTTATATGAGGGTTTAGTTGGAAAACAACTTATATATCAATTTTATTATCATAGTAAAAACAACTATACAGAGTGTTGAAAAAGTAAGAAAACAGGTCATTTGTTAAAAATATTAAAAACAATAGAAAGCCGCATACTAAACATTATATATATTTTCGCTAATGTTATGAAAATATTAGTAGCCTGCAGACATTAATTATTACATTATATTGATTTAGTTAGTTTTGTCACACAGAGGAAATATATATTTTATAAGCAAACAAGTAATTTAAATCAATAATTTGACACGATTAACGTCGCAATAATGTAGTCGACACTGGTTTTAAGTGTTGTGACCCGTGGGCAGTTTATTAATAAGCAATAGCGGATAATTAAAAAAAAAAAAACAAATACAGTTAATAATAATCTTTGCGGAACTTGATGAGGGGACGTGGTATCCGGCACTATCCTCGTCGTCAAAAAGTTAGCAGCGTTGATGGCGACGGTATGCGAGTGCGGATTGGTTCGTCGAGTCATGCGGCACGTCCGGAGTCGGTGGAGTACTTCCTCTACGTTGTCACTTTGACAACGGGAAGAAGACTCAACGTATGATTGCAGGTTGTCGTCGGTCGTGTAGCACTTGCTGGACTTTAGAGTAAGGCACACGATGTTCGTCAGTCAAATACTCGTGGTAGGGCGACGGCTGATAAAGGTGGCACGACTCGCGCGCATCGTGTATCACAAAGCGACCGTGTCAAATTGTTTCACAGTCGCACGGAAGACTTTATTAGCCCATAATCACATGGATGAATTATTTTTATTTAATTATACCATACGGTTGGTTTAATGTAATATTTAAGATTAAATAAAACCAGATTGTTCACTTTGGAATTTATTGATAAACAAAACCTGCCGCAGTGCAGTGTGATCACGAGTAAGGAAATAAATTACTTTATAACACCTATTACAAAAATTATTGTATCAAATAATTGATTATGCATATACACATTAGTGAGTGTCTATGTATATTAATAGAAGTTCAAAAAATAGCTACAATTTGAGTAGCTTTAATTTACTAATTAAGTATCAGATCACTGCTCTCGGCCCCGCCACAATTCCAAAATGGATGTGGGGGTTGGTAAACGACCTCTCCATGGATTGGATATGCGCCGTCGCAAACCGGTTGGGTGTCTCCTGGAGGGTGCATTCCCCATGAAGTGGAAGAAGGCCAGGTTTGTGCTTCTGAGAAAAGGTGACAAGCCCGAGGGTCTCCCTTCGTCCTACCGACGGCTTTACATGTTGAACGACCTGAGAAAGATCCTTGAGCAGCTGCTTGTCACCCGGATCGAAGCCTACCTGGCCGACTTCGGTGGATTGGCTGAGAGCCAATTTGGTTTTAGGAGGGGAGGTCCACGGACGAAAACCGATCAGGGCTTCGGAGTGGAAGTGAGCCTAGACTCCGAAACGTATTCAACTCCATTCGTTGGTCACACATCTTTGAAGCACTGGACGCATTTCGGGTGCCTCCGTACCTCGAACAAATGATCCGGTCGTACTTTAGCGATCGGGTCATCGCTTACGAGAGTGCTGCGGGCCCGAGAATCAAACCCGTAAATGGCGGCGTCCCGCAAGGATCGGTTCTCGGGCCTCTGCAGTGGAACATCGCTTACGACGCGGTGTTCCGCTACCACCACACGTGCGCGTTATCTGCTATGAAGATGACACACTGGTGGTGGCGAAGGCGCCTCGTCCAAAGAGGCTGGATCTCGTGCAAACTGTGCGCTCAGCGTAGTCACCACGAGGATCCAGTAAGAGGGGAGTGGACTGAACCTTGCTCTGGAAGCGGTCTTGTTCATGGGCAGGTACAAGTTGGGGGTGGAGATCCCGCTTAAGGATTCCATGACTAATTTGTAATTTGTTTGTCTACTGATCGTAGACAAACGTCTAAAGTACGCACATTATTCGTGCGGCCCAGTGGGCCCAGAAAGTCATGAATAGCCTTGCGGAACTCATGCTTAATCTGACATGACCGAGGGAGATGCTGACTCGCCTCTCGGTGGAGGCAACGAGAGGTGAGTGGACCAGGTCTCTCATAGAATACGATAGGCTGGACCGGATTCACGGTGAGATGACTTATTGTCTCACACAAGTGATGTTCGGTCACGGCTGCTTAAACGAGTACTTACACCGTATTCGCAAAGCAGCGGCCTCGTCGGGCGACCGCTCTCGTCCGGGAGAGGTAGACAGCGTTCTGCACACCCTTTTCCGGGGCGAAGTGTGGGCCCAGGAGTGGCACTCTTTGGAGTCCCTACTGGGGTTCACGTTCCGAGTCGGGTCAATGGTGGATTTATGTTGTGGAACCGGGAAGCGTGGAGGCTCGTCCAGGCGTTTGCCAAATTCATCTTGAAAAAGAAGGAGGAAGCACAACGCCTGAGACATGGAAAACACATACATAAAATATAGATATTATAATATCTTTTTCCTTACTGAAATTTTTAATTCTTTTTTAGTGAAAAAAAAAAATTATGTGTAAGTAAAAATCTTAAAGACTTGATGGTTTGTTATTCAAATATATTATAAATACAAATATTTAGTGGTAAATAATTAAAATAAAACTCAATTTAGCTTACTGATATAGCACAAGTGATGTGGCTTGAAGATGCATAATAAAAAAAAAAAGGAGAAAACATAAAAAATTTATATATTTTGTTACGTAATGCTGGACATATGCTCATTTATTAAAATTTTCAACACCAACTCAAAGAAAAAAATTGGATTTACTTAATCAATATAAGTTGTAAAACATAATAAAATAAATGTGTCTAATTAAAAATATATACACATATTTAAAGAGATGTGTGTATTTATGAGTTTGTGTATGGAAGTTCAAAGTAACTATTTTAAAACATAATAATTAATTAAATAAATGATATATAATAAAAATTAATCACTTGTGGCTAATTTAATTGAACTTATTAAAATAAATTGCACTTTATATTGAATTATGTAACTAATAACTATGTAATTATATAAAACATTAAATTATGATTATTTGTGCAAAAATACAAATTATTTTGTAAGCTAACAATTGTATATATTCCTATATTCTAATTAAGTTTATCATTTTTTGAGTCCTTTAGTACCTGATAAAGCGTATTATTGCTACTTGCTCCAGAATCTTCGGTTAATACTTAATTTATACTTGTGTTTAAGCTTTTTTAGCTTCATTAAGGCTTCTAGATGCAAGTGAATAAGTTTTCCTTCTTAATGGTCCTAGATACCATTATAGTTATATTATACATACAGAGTGAAACTTCTATGTTTATTTTAATATTTCAAGCATAAATTTGATGGACCCCTCTCCCTAAATAGGTGCCATAAGGGTGAGGATATAGTCTTCCTAAATATTAAATTTGCCTCCAAAAATTTGGAGAATTATAAGTGTTATTGCTCACCAGTAAAACGTTGTAAATCTACAATGGCAATGGCGGATTAATCACTATTAATTATGGTTAATAGTAGATATTTAACAGATTTACCTACTATTTTCTTTCTTTAAACAATAAGTAATAGAAAAATTTCGTTATCAAAGAAACTTAAAAATATTTAACTTTTTTATATAAATAAAATAAAATTAATACATCATATATTTTTTAATTTAAAATTACTGAGCTATCTATTCAAAATATATCGTTTAAAAACAATTTGTTACCTCTAATTGATAGAATGTTGTTTAACGATAATTAATTGATTTTTAAAATATTAAATGCATTCATTGATAGTCTTGAATTAATTGTCAAATAGGTTTCAAAGT